GGACAACTTAAATGTGTTTATCACACTCTAGACAGACTGTAGTTGCAAAAGATAGATGTGACTCCAGTTGGCAGTACTCAGGAGAAGTTAGACCAGTGGTTCCCAAAATGTGCGCTGTGGCACCCTGTGGTGTCCACAGTGCCCTTGGTGCTTCCAAACCCAGTAATCCTTTCTCTGTTCCTTCACTGAGCCGGTGATGGTGCTATTGGCTCCTTTGCATTCCTTCACCTCCATGTCCACCCTGTGTCCACTCCTCTTGCTCTGCCCCTACTGCTGCTACTCAAGGGACATTGCAGGCTGAAGAAGTTTGGGAACCACTGAATTTGGCCAAAATATGAATGGATGTGTGTGTGTGTGTGTCGATTTGGATGGAAAATGAAGTACGTACTAAATTGAAAGCAACCTGAGCAAATATTATGCGTTCTTTCACAATGATGTATTGTAACATAGCAATGTCAGGAGCAAAATGCGGGTTGAGATGTAATAGTTGACCTCTCACTCATTTGCAATCTGGAAGAATTTTTCACTCGGAGAAATGGGAAACTCTCTATTTCATTATAGTCATGCTCGATCACAAAGTTTAGTCACCGTCCCTCCTCTTCCAGATGAAAATGAAGGAAACGTTTTCTCACAGCTTCTGTGAATCTTGAAGGAACAGCAGATAATGTCAGGACTACCTCGCGGCGCAGTGGTGAAACCGCTGTACTGCAGCCAAAATTGTGCTCACAACCTGGGGTTCAATCCTCGGTAGCCGGCTCAAGGTTGACTCAGCCTTCTATCCTTCCGAGGTCGGTAAAATGAGTACCCAGCTTGCTGGGGGGGGGGGAATGTGTAGCCTCTATAATTAACTTGCAAACCACCCAGAGAGTGCTTGAAGCACTATGGGGTGGTATATAAGCAGCACGCTTTGCTTGTTTTACCATATGTAAAGAAAGAAATTTCATCCTTGTAAAACAGAAATAAGTGCGGGAAGGTCTAGCCTGCTGGTCACATGAAGTGGGTTACATGGAAGATACTTAACAGGCCACAGAGTGGAGTCAGTAGAATGACTCCCCATCACTGACACAGTCCTTTGCAAGTACAGAGAAAAGCGGACGGTGTCAGTGCACTCTGTGCCCTCAACATGCACTATGGAATCCTTGATGTTGGCTCCTCCCAATGCTCTTGATGTTGTCGGTTGTTGAATGAAAATTATCAGGTTTATGTATGTATATATGTTTTGTTTGTATGTATGTTTAATTTATAAACAAACCCATTAGTGCTGAAGGACTATTCTGGGCAAAGGATTAGAAACAAAGGTTCATGGCAAAACACTAAAACATAACACAAATAGCAATAATTTGGCAAGATCATTTGTGACTGCCTCTACCTGGACTTAAGGTAAAGATAAAAGTTCCCCTTGATATTTAGTCCAGTCGTGTCAGACTCTAGGGCGCGGTGCTCATCCCCATCTCCAAGCTGTAGAGCCAGCATTTGTCCCAAGACAGTTTCTGTGGTCACGTGGCCAGTGCGACTAGACAAGGAACGCCGTTACCTTCCCACCGAGGTGGTACCTATTTATCTACTCGCATTTTTACATGCTTTTGAACTGCTAGGTTGACAGGAGCTGGGACAAGCGATGGGAGCTTACTCCGTTACGTGGATTCGATCCTACAATTGCTGGCCTTCTGACCTTGCAGCACAGAGGCTTCTGCGGTTTAACCCGCAGCAGCGCCACGTCCCTTGCCTTCTGCCTAAACACATGTGCGCCCAAGCGGTCTTAAGAATTAAACATAAAAGATATTCTTTATTATAATATAACAACTGGTTAAACGAAAGAGTTCACTTTAATTTACACTGTGTTACATGTTAGTTTTCAAACATCCAACCTCTCCCCTAAGATACAAAGTAATCCTCTCAGGTTCTAGCCAACTTTTAAAATATGACCTCTCTCCTTGTGATACAATTCAACTCTTCTCTCTGTCTCTCCTGGTCTTTTTATAATTCCTGCTGGATCTTCTGGATTGGCTCTCTTTTTTCTTCCAGCCAATTACCTTATTTATGTTGCTGCTGGGTAAAACAGGTGAAAGTTCCCTCACAGCATTAAAAAAGAAAGAAAAGAGGGAAGAAAAAAAACAGTAGCATTGTAGCATTCATCCTGCTCATGAATATTTATGTTGATATTTGCATGTACCAATAGGCATTGGTGGGGCAGAGTTAAAGGTAAATGAGAAGAAAATAATGTGTTAATTGAGAGTTAAGGACATTGACTGGACTTTTATCACTTGAAACAATAAATAATTTCTGCTTGGTTTTTAAATGATACCTCTGTCATTAATAGCGGACAAAGTTGATGTAGCCAACTGGTGGCAGCTGAACAACACATAATGTGCACCTTTGCTTGGTGAAACAACCAAGGCAGGAATGTGACAGGCACCAACAGATTATCACAGAAAAGTGGAACTGGAGATGAAATGCTCAACATGGTTCAAATTGAAAAGCCTCCCTGAAAAACTGTCTCCTAAAAGAATACAGGGAGGGGAACAGGTGTAACTCCTCCAGGAGCTGGTTCCATAGTCTTGGTGCCACCACAGATAAGGTCCCACCTTCAGACCTCTTTTGGAGTGGCTACCTGGAGGAGCCCGGCCTGAGACCCTGGAGGAGCCTGGCCTGAGACAATCTGGTGGGTTAGGCAGATGACATTGGAGAAAGAAGATCCAACAGGTAATGTGGTCCCAAATCATGAAGACTTTCAATGTGAGTGTTAAGACTTTGAACCTGATCTGGGATGCAACAGGTAGCCAGTGGAGATTGGCCAGAATTGGAATGATGCTATCAAATGTGCTTGCACCAACCACTAGTCTGGCTGCAGCATTCTGGATCCACTGTAGTCTCCAGGGCAGCCTCAAGAGCAGCCTCATGTAGAGAGCATTGCAGTAGTTGTTCCAGGAGATCACCAGTGCCTGCTCCAATGTCCTGAGAGAGCCCTCATCTTGGTATGGGTGGAGTTGGAGGATAAGCCTAAACTGGTTGAAGTGATGGACATGGCTGTAATTTGGGCATCCCAAGAAAGAGCAGGGTCCAGAAGCATACCCAAATTAGAAACTTGATCCCTAAATGGGAAGGAAATCCAGTCTAGGAATAACTCCCTCCAACCTTGGGGGGGGGGGTCCCTAGGAAAAGAATCTCTATTTTATCACAATTATTAATTGTGTTTGTAATTCTGATGCAAGGAAAGAAACAAAGAAATAATTTCATTGTGTCTCTCCACATCTCACTATACTCCCTCCAACTTTTGGGTTGCAAGATGTATGTCCCCTCCTCCCCTACCAGTGGAAATTTGCAAGTGTTTTGGTATGCAATTATTCTAATTTGCACACTTTAAAAACTATTTTTCCCTTAATGAATGCATTTGTATGCCTTTTTCCACTAACTAAAATGAATACTTGCAGTTTTAAAGACACCTCTTGAGTTGTGCCCATTTACAGTGTGCCCTGCATGACAACCATAATCCGTTCTGTCAAAATTGCTGTACAGTGAAATTGTCATCATGCAAAACAAACAAACAAACAAACAAAACACATTGGAATGCATTGAAAACCGGTTAATGCGTTCCAGTGGGGAAATACCTCATTGTCCAGCGAAGATCGCCCATAGAGAACAGCCGATCAGCTGTTTAGAATCACTATTTTGCAAAGCTTCTGTCCAGAAAACAGCCATTTTTCGAAGAGAGGGAAGCCATTTTGCGAAGGGAAGCCATTTTGCGGAGCCGGAAAAAGCATTGTTTTGTGAACAAATAGTTCACGAAGCAGGGACCTAATCCACATAAAGTGAAAAAAACCCATAGGAACCATTGTTTTGCGATCGCTGTCGTCATCAAGCGATTTCGTCGTCATGCAGGGTCATCGTAATGCGGGGAATCCCCTGTATTTGCACATATTTTTAAAAGAGCCTGTTCATGGTCTGCAAGTTTCTCACTAACATTAGGAAACTTGCAGAACATGAATTGGATAATTCTGGATACAGTCTGGTTAATGTGGGTTTCTTTTCCATTGGTACTGGCTCTGAATTGTCTAACAGACAACAGCTAGGAAGGCCACATCCAAAATTTGGTTGGTAATGAGTATACTTGGGAGGAAATCAAGTTTTCATTGTACATTCAATTTCTCCTGATACAAATACCTGACTTGTGCATGTGCTCAGAGACACTCTAAGTATAAATCTGCCCTCTTGAGCTGCTATTTTGCATTTAGTTCCAGCTGGACATCAGAATAAAAAGCAAATATGGAAGGCTATATCTCAGATCATGCAAGTCTATGGATTCAGTTTCTGCTTAAGAGGAATTTTTTTATCAGTCATTTAAAATGTTTAATACTCGCAAGATCCTGATGTCAGAGAAAATACAGTTCTTAAGCAGTTTTGGATAGTTCTTCACTTACGTGTGAGATCTCAGAGCTGTCAACTAAGAGGAAAGCTGCCACACAGGTTAAAAGCCAAGCACCAGAAGGGAGATAGTTTATTTTTAAAAAAGAAACATATGAAAGATGTGGGCAGTTAATGTTCTTGGGATCAGGGCTAGGATAACCACATGAAATGGAAGACAGTGTCCTGCATTTTTAATAACTGCGTGGAAAAGGAAATTTCTGCAGCTGTAAATTGCATGACAGGTTACACCTGCTGAAATTTGTTTCTCCACACAACTATTAAAAGATATTGGATCCCTGTCCTCCATTTCATTTGGCCAGTCTAACAGGGCAGGCCAAATATATTTTACCGGCTGAGACAGAGCAGCAAATTTCTTTCCCCCACCTCATCATATGCACAATCAGCAAATGCATTGTGCATATGTCAAAAGACCCCCACAAACGCCTCTCCCCACCTGCACCTTTAATAAACATAAAATAAATACAGACTGAGTAACTAACAATTTACTTCCCTTTCATAACACCTAAAATCTGTTGCTTTAGTTGGCTACCTTATTTTGCCTGATGGAAGGGCTGGCCCTGGATGATCCATGCAACGACCTTCTCAACCAGTTATAAGTCCCGTAGGCTGAAACACGCTGCAGTGAACGCAGGCACATGATATCATGTATTCCAGGAGTGCGTCAATTCTACGGAAATGCAGAGGAATTTTGGTGGGAATACGCAGGTGGAACTGATGAAGCAGAAGATGAATGTGATGAGGTGCTCACTGTGGAGGGGGAGGGGGAAGCAAATGTAAATAATCCAGAGGGCAAGATGATAGAGTTGATCCGTGTGCCAAGACAACAATATCTGTGAAAACAAATCAAGCTTGGTGCCAAATGAAATCTGGCATCAAACTAAATGAAAAGAGATTTAGCTTCCAAGCCAAATGTGGTATCAAATCAAGTCTCTCCTGGCTCATCCCCAAATCGAAGCTGGAGAATGTCCAAGTTCATTAGAAAAATGAACATAATTATGGTAGTGCTATGTGGAGGGCACAAGGAGACTGAAGGGACAGTGAGGCTTTCTGGTTGCTCTTTTCCTTAAGATGCAAAAAATCCCAAAGTCAGTGGCTAATGGACTAACAGAAAACGAATTCATTCATATGCCCCCCAAACTACTAAATAATCTTGTCCACTGTTGCAGCCAAGCAGAATGTTTGCTTTAGCTGTGTTAGGAAACCAAATCAATAAAACTAACATTAGAGGAAAGGAGTTCATCATCTTGTGGAAAGATCCTGCTTGAACATGCTGTACCTGGGGACTATATGATCTTAACCTGACATCATCTTCTTCGTAGATTAATTGGATGGACTATACATTTTATTTGGACAGGAGAGATAAAAGAGATAAAAGTGTGTCTTGTTTGGACTAGCAGCTAAAAGATACTTTACCTGTGTAATATCAACTGCTCTTTGGGGCCTATCCAGGAAGCGTTGGCTTCTCATACACCTATTTAAGAAAAGAAAAAAAGAATCAAAGTTACTAATTAGTCTTCGAAAGAGCCATAAGAAGAGTCCTCCAGCATAGAAGAACACTGGTTGAAGAACACATGCTAAATTTTTTCTAAATACAGTGAAAATAAATTATAAACCATAATGCTAGTTCTTGAGCAAGGAAGGATCTGTGGGGCTAGATATGTAGCCCCATGACATCTATTCTGTCACCTGAAGGGGGGGGGGCTTCATAGAGATTTATATATTGCTGTGGAAGTATTGTGCTAAGCTGCTCATAATACCCATATGTGCTAAACCCATTTCACATACGGGTATTGTGTAGGGGGTGATAATCACATTTCTACTAGGAATGTCGCTTTACTGCGATTCTACCCCCTGGCACCACAATGCAACATGGTAGTGATAGTGGTGGCTATGATGGTGGTTATGGTGACGGTAGTGGTGGTGATGATGGTGATGATGATGTAGAGTGGATTGTTGCTGAAAATCCTACCCTTGAGAGAGAGCTTGAGGTAAGCATGTGGGCTGGCTTACCATCATGAGCCATTTGATCCGCTCTCATTATTTGCCTTGTAAGTGGCTTTTCAACGAAGGTAGCACTACAAGCCATTTATCAAGTGGCTTTTACCGGTAGCTACTTGAGTTACAGAGCAGAGTTCAGAACTTTTCAGGTAATTGCTGGTTGATTCCTTACACAGAGAAGTTAGTAAATTTAGACATGGAATATAGAAAATACACGATGTTTCACAGGAGCTCTCCCGACAGGATAAATTCGAAATATATTAGCAAAGGGATTGCAACAGCCATGTCTATATGGATTAAGGAGAGCTTCATTCTGCTTTGTGGGTCTTTTCTATTTTTCCTCTTCCTTCCTCATCATAACCAGAAGTGACAGAAATTATTTACTTCAAATCCATATTGAATTAGGCAAAAGGGTATTTTCTGGTTTGCCCTTCTAGTTATTTCTTCTGTATATAATTCACATGGCGTACAGGCAAGTTGTGGATGGGAGAAATGCAGTATAATAGATGTGGATTCCTTTCCTTAACTTTTAGGGTAATGTTAGTGTGACGTTTTAATCAAGATATCCTTCTGAGCTTTCCTTGAAAGGCTCTTCCATAGGGTTGAGCTCAGACTTTTGGGCTATGATCTATACTTATTTTCATACGGATCATTCAAAAGTTAGTTGATCTTTTTTCTTTCTTTTAAAATCTCTAAATAACAGTGCTCGCAGACTTCATGACAACTAGAACCTCCACAAAAATGCAACACTGACTAGAATAGTTGGAAGCACTTTGTCATTGTCCATTTGTCTTTTTAAAATAATTTTTTAATCATACGTATAGAAATACAAAACAGAAAACTAAAACTTGAGAATAATAATCCCAATAACAACAAAACATCAAAGTTAAACATCCATACTACACCTACAGATCAGAGATTTCACCATTGTCTCATAATGAATATCATAAAAGGATTCTAGTGAGCACTGATCCTCCATAAACTATTTCTTCCCCTAAATTCCTGTCTTTTCCTGGTCCCAGATATACATCAGCTTCCAGCTTTCCTTTACAAAGTGTCTTGGTTGATCCCGTAGTGCCTCTGAAAGCATATCTAGTTATGCAATATCCACTACCTTCTTTAATAGCTCATCCATCATTGGTATTTCTCCATTCTTCCATTTTTTGGCCCAGAGTAAACTAGCTGTAGTGTATATACACGGAGACTATATTTTATTTTCTTATCAATAATATCTAGCATTACATTTAATAATAACATTTCAGGTATAATCACTGCCCATTTCTAACTCCAATATATTAATATACATTTAGGCCTTTAAACCTGAAATTCTCTTTCATGTATAATGGAGAGTATTGGAGTGATTCTATCTTTACATGTAAATCCTGCTAGTGATTTACATATACATAAGTTATATTGTGGAGCTCACTGCAGCAAATTGGCACTAACTAACAAGATGCCAGTCATGTTGCAAGGTATGTATCCATGTACACATAACAGGTGCATGCCTAGTAATGCAACGCTTGCTTTTTTAGTTAGTGCAATTTGCCACGGTGCATTACACAATTTACCTGAAACACCTGTGAATCTAGTGCAGAAATCTGGCCATGATTTTGCACTATTGAAAACACATGTGTGCATTTTAAAAAAAAACACATGAGCATGCAACAATACAAGATCTTTAAGGAGAAAAAAAATTATGACACATGAATGTCACTTTTTAGGTTCTTCTTGTCTTATGCTCAGAGAATGACCCACATATATTTGCTTGATTTGTTTTGTGATCGCTCCATGCAGGAAGCTCTGGAAAGTCATGAGTTATTATAAGTGACATGCTCAAAGAGATGGTTCTATGACCTTACATTTCTGAACTGAGATATAATGTACTTTAATGGCTTTCTGGCTTATGTGCTTAGTTTAACATTGAAATCAAAAGCCAGTCATTTATTTTTAGGCTATTTGCACATCCTGTCCACACACACCAGCACTGGTTAAGTGCATTAAAGATGAGTGATTTAAATATATAGAAGCCAGTTCTGAAGTGGAAATAATACACATGTGCATGCTCACACACAGTCGGGTATGTTTTAATATTAATTTTAACCTTCAGGTCTTCAGAGTTCTTGCTGTCATTTTCCTAGTCAAGTGAAAATTCCCCCTATTCTGCATACGTAGTTAAAAAATATGGCCTCCAAAAAAGATTTTTAGCGTTACAATTCTTGGAAAACTGAAAGAAAAAAGCAATATAAGTAATATTAAAAATTTCTGTATGCTTCAGGTTCCATGGGAGAGATATGTGAAGACTGTTGTGTATAATCTGTGGGGCCACAGTGGTTCATGAGGCAAATGCACCTGGTCCATTATGTAATGTTTTCCAGCTTTCCCCAGTCTTACTAATCGTGGAGTCCCATGTTTATCACAGTTATCTGTACAATCCTGCCAAGTAGTAATTTGCCAAAACTTCCCCATACCACGTTCATTGCCTTTAAAGAGTGAGGCAAATTAGGAAGTCTCCATTATAAATTGTACAGTTCAGCTGGCTGCTCTTTCCTTTCAAGAATACAATCCTTCCTGGTGGTTTGTCTTGCTTTAGGATTGGCGAGGGGCTGTGGGGGGGGGGAGGGCTCATGGGGATCCTGAGTGCAGTTCAAGCAGAGTCACTTGGTGTCCTCAACACAACATTCACTAGAGTCCCAGAAGCTTGTCTTTTTTCTCCTGCACTAAACTGGAATCCTTTCCTGGGAGTTGTTAGGTCAGCCAGTGGATCAGTTGGTGCCATGTTGGCCTATCTAGCTGTACAGCTAAGTCTGCCCTACAGCCATTACAGAGCAGTTTCTTCCACCCAATCTCAGGACGAGGACCAGTTGTGTGGTATACATACCTTTGTCATCCAGCTAAAGGGATTGGACAGAGGTAAAAAAAAGAACAGCCATGTTACTGTCTTCAGTATTTATTGCCTGTGGCTGTTGCCTCTGTTTGGTAGAGCTGACCTTGAGCATTCCTTGCTGTGTATGGATTGTTTTCTTACAACAGAAGGAATGGGCAAAGTTTCTGCAGGTACATCTGATCATATTCAAGGTTTTGAATAACATATGATCTCTTAGTAGTCAAGCTATCTGGCTGTGGAGTCAGATGTTGAGAGTTCAATTCTTCACTGTGCCTCCTTGACAGGGACTGGCCTCGATCATCCATAGGATCCTTCCCAGCTCTGCAGTTCAAAGAAGATGATGATACCTGTACATGCAAACCATGCTAAATATAGCACAAACTTTTCTTTCTGACCTCATGCTGTTGCCAGAGTGGTGTCCTGGTCTGTGATGAATCTGCCATTCGGCCTTCCGGGATCAATGGCATGTGGGGAATGCAAGGAGGACAGTCATTGCCATGGGGTTCTGTGAAGTTACTGGCTGGCATGGAGGGTTGGTCCGGAAACGGCAGGCTAGCAGACCTGAAGGAACAGCTGCTGGCTTCACCCACAGTTTTGCTTCCCAAGTCATACGGCTCTCCCTTGCTCTCTTTAATGGTAGTGGGTTGTTAGTGTTTGGTGGTGTTTTTTGTTTTTTTTTGTGCTCATGAGTGGTTTCTCTCTCTCTGTGTGTGTGTGTGTGTCTCTGTGTGTGTGTGAGTGAGTGAGTGAGTGAGTGAGTGAGTGAGTGAGTGATCTTGTCTGTTATCATACCTTTGCAGGCAGTTTGGAGCATTGGGATGGATCCAAGAGGCAGGAGGCCTGCATGCCTTGGTAATAGAGGAATCCTATTAATGGAGCAGGGCCATGGCCAGGGTTAGCCTGGGGATCAGAAGCCCAGCTTTATCCTTTGAGTGGCAGTGAACCATGGAGTGGGATACACCCATGTAGTCCCCAAGATATTGCCATTCCTGGGTTGCATTCCTCACCCCCCACTTCGCTGGCTGGGGGTCTAGGAAGGAACAGTAGTTTGCATCAGGGCACAATCTGGTCTCTTGATGAGCTGGATCCATTCCCAATGTTGTGCCATGAAAACCGCTGCTGCTACTAATAAAGTTGTGACCTTTTCCCTCCAATAAACTGATGTGGGGTGTGGGGTAATTCAGCTGCTAACTGTGGCTGCTCTACTGTAGGCCAGCAAAGAATCCACAACACATGTTAAATAATGGCTGAAATCCAAAGGTATATTGCAATTAGGGTAGGCCCATTGAATCAACAGAATTTGCGGAGTTGACTCGCCAAGTCCCCTACTGGTTCAATCGGCTTGCTCTAGTTGTGTCTTAACTACATTGTAATTCATGGAGCTAGGTTTGGTCTTGAGAGCTGACAAGCTGCAAGTGGACAGAAGGCATGGGCAGTGGCAAATAGGTCTTGGCTTACTTTAATAGATGGCCATTTGATTGAGTGCTATTCATAATTGGTTGACAGTTGGTGAGTGAGACAGGTTCATTCCTGCTCTCCAGAAATCTGCTTTTATAAAAGGATTCAGAGTCACATTCACAAGACTTGGGGGGGCAATATCTTGTTGTTGTTGTTGTTGTTGTTGTTGTTGTTGTTGTTGTTGTTGTTGTTGTTGTTGTTGTTGTTGTTGTTGTTGTTGTTTGTTAATTTCTCCACCTAACTACAGGAGATGAAAGAAGTAACTTCATTAAGGACTATTCAAAGTATATTAATACTTTCATGGGGCCCTATAAAAGCCCCATCACTGATTTGATTTGATTGGTTCTAGCACAGTTTGTATCTGGGTAATCTGGAAAAAAAATGCTTTTGTTTCCTAAATTGTCTTCCTATTGTAACTGTATGGTCTTCCTTCAGTGGATCGTATGTTTATTATGGCTATAGAAGTAAAATGGAATCTATTTTTCACTGTGTGCAATTTAGTCATGCATCAATACATTTTTAATTAAAAGAATCTGACAGGTATAATAGCAGAGAACTCAAAATAATTTTCAGAACGAGTCTGTTTCTTCACAGACAGGTAATCAGAATCTGTCTTGGACAGACTATGGGTGTGTAATATTTTATTAAGATATACACTGGGAGATTTTTTAAAAAATATTTTAGTTTTAAATCATCATAGTTTGCTGTATGTTTAGAAAAGTAACAATGGGGAGTCCTTGGCAGAACAGAAATAAGGTTACAAGACAACTAAACAGCTGTAGGATACCATATATCTCCGGTTAAACGCTTGAATCACCTAGCCATCTTGCTGGTGGGATCAAAATAACAGCAGATGAGAGTGATGAAGATCTAATTTAGTAATGAAGTCATTCTTCTCCCCCCAAGGTTACCTGAGACAGTCTGCCTGGGGGAAGCTAGCTCACAGATGACTCCATTCATGTATTTCCAATGATCACACTGAGAGTTCCTTTCCTTTCCTTTCCTTTCCTTTCCTTTCCTTTCCTTTTCCTTCCTTCCTTCCTTCCTTCCTTCCTTCCTTCCTTCCTTCCCCTGAATTCTTTTTCTCATGCCAATCCTTTATGTTTCCAAAGTTCATTGCAGCACAAGGTCCCTCTGGACCAGTGCGAAGCTTCCGGTATGGTGCTTCTTTGCCTGCCCATCTGGAGAGACACAGCAGAGAACCTTGGAAGGACAGCAGGCAGGGTGAGCCTTTAAGAAGGGTGCCTTTGCTTGTGCGGTCCTCTTTCCCTGCCACAGCTTGCTAGGGAGAGGATTGCTGCATTGGAGTCAAGTGGTTTTGCTTTTGCTGCTTGACTTGACCAGCATTTTTCTGAGAGCCTCATGGGATTTGGGCTGTGCATCGGCACAGCCCCAAAGTTTCGGGAGGGAATTTAGTTATATTTGATAAATAAAAAATTAAATAACAAAAATAAATGAATCAATGGATTAATAAATAAAAAATAAATACTGCTAGGGGTAGGGGGGATAAGGACCCCACCTGGCAGCCACATGTTATAAGGGTAGAACAAGGGGAGCAGTGGAGGCAACAGGAAGGGAGAGTGGAGGCAACAGGAAGCCACCTCCAGGTTCTGCTAAGGTACAGGTTTTAGAAATGTGGCTGCATGGTTACCCAGATAGGGTGGCAGCCAAATATTTACTGGATAGTTTTAAATAGGGATTTTGCATCCTTGCCACAGGGGATAGGATGGCCACCTTGACCAAAACCTTGAGATCACTCATGAGTCAGGAAGCTACTGTCAGGGCAAAAATCAGCAAAGTGGCAGAAGGTAGAGTGTTGGATCCATTTTCTACCCCACCAGTTCCGCATTTAAGGGTATCCCCACTTAGAGTAGTGCCAAATAAGGTTGAATAGGTGAATTTAGACTGATCCATCACCTCTCCTTCCCAGCAGAGGATTCACTTAATGATGGGATCCCTCAAGAGCTATGCAACGTGCGTTATACATTGTTTGACACCACAGTTCATATGGTAATAGGTCTGTGGGATTGGGGCAGAGTTAGAGAAATCTGACATCAAGTCAGCTTTTAGGCTTTTACCCGTACACCCAGATAACTTTCTGTTGTTGGGTTTTGCATTCGAAGGAAAGTTTTATATGGATAGGGCACTCTCAATGGGATGCTCCATATCATGTTCAGTGTTTGAGACATTTAGCTCATTTTTGAATGGGCCCTCAAGTGTAGGCTGGGGTCAGTGCAGGTAGTCCATTATTTGGATGGTTTTTTATTTTGTGGGAGACAGGGCATCACCCAATGCTGGTGCCTTATGAAGGCTTTTCAGGAGCTCGCTCAGGAACTTGGAAGGTCCCTGCCCAGTTCTGACATTTTTGGGAATAGAGTTAGTTACTGTTAGGCAGTCCAGCCGACTGCCAGAGAACAAAATTGGGGACTTTACTCAGCACCTTAGGGCCGTGCTAGGACAACCCAAGGTAACTTTAAGGGAGCTTCAGGTTTTGCTTGGACACTTGAACTTTGAACGTAAAGTTGTGGCTCCAGGCAGAGCCTTTTTGTGTAGGCTATGTGATGCTATAAAAGGCCTCAATAAGCCACATCATCGATGTTCGATTTTGGCTGGCATGAGGCAGGATTTAGTAGTTTGATTGAGGTTTTTGGAGGGGTTCAATGGCATCTCATACTGTATTGGAGAACAGAACTGAGTGATACATGTCTATCCTCTTTGCAGAGGAAAGATGTGGTAGTGTCAAACAGGCATGTTGTAATTAATCTTAGATCTAAAACTGATCAGATGAGAGAAGGCCAAGTCATAGTGCTGGAACAATGTTCCATTGAGGCAATTTGCCCTGTTAAGGCAGCAATTGAATATATGGGGTTCAGAAGAGACGAGGACGGGGTTTTCCTGAGATATAAGGACTCGTTGTTGCTCATGAAATATCAATTAAGGAAGATCATATTTCAGGCCTTAATAAGGACTGGGATACAAGGTTGACAATTTGGCACCCATTAATTTCACATAGGTGCAGCATCTACAAGAGCTGCTTTGGTTTATGGCATGGAGGATGTTGAAAAGGTGGGATGATGGTCCTCCATCAGGTACCATGGTTACATATAACCATTGCCACAGTTGTAGGTCCTGGCATTTGTGTGTGTATGTGTGTGTGTTCTTATTGTTTCAGGTTCAAGGAATTGGTTACCTGAGTTTGAGTGCATTTATGTGGCCACAGCTACGTGTTCTGGGCAGCGTATGCGGGGTGATCCAGCTGGGGTCATAATCTGGGCTTTAGTGTGTGGGCCACGTTGGAGTGGAGGGGTTGGAGAGGCATGCTCTGGGACAAGTTAATAAAATCAGCATCCCAGGGTACTCTGGATGTGCCTTCTGACATTGTGTTAATCCACCTCACTGGCAACAACTTGACCCAGCATGGTGGCAAGACATTAATATTACAGGTCATTTCAGAACTCCATGCATTTGTGTTGCGCTTTCATGGAACACACATAGTGTGGTCAGCGATCCTACCTTGGATGGTATGGAGGGCCAGATGCCGCCCCAGGTGCATTGATAAGGCCTGGAATGGAGTGAACAGGGAAGTTGGCAGGGCCATTAGGGCTCAAGAGGGGGCAGTTATTTTGCATCCTGACACGAGAGCTAGTTGCCCTGAGTTATACAGAGAAGACGGGTGCACTTATCTGATCTAGGGCTAGATTTGTTCCTTCGTGATGTAGAAGGGGGCCCTAGGGCTGAAATATTTAGCCTGGTGGGGTGCTCGGGGCATACAGTGTAGCCCCATGCCATGGCAAGTATTGCTGCCCTGTGAAGCATGGGTCCAGAAAACACAGGGCAGCCATTTTGCAAAGCCGCCGATCAGCTGTAAAAATCGTTGTCTTGTGAACAAACAGTTCGCGAAGCACAGACCTAATCAACGTCCAGCAAAAATCCCCCATTGGAATGACTGTTTTGCAAATCGCTATAGCAATCACAAAAAGTCATTGTTATGCGGATTCATCATTTAACGGGGTCATCGTCTTGCGAGGTACCACCGTATTTATCTCTTGTATATAGGTCTGTAGTGCTATGTGCTGTGTAGTGCTATGCATTGTGACTCTCTGTGTTTAACTAGATTTGTGCTATGATAGCCAAGATATTTCAGTTATATAACGAGAACTTAATGGCTTGTAATAAGTTTCTTATTCTTTTTTTTAAAAAAACTAATATCTAGTTTATAAATCCTGGTTATAATTTTTGAAAATTATTAGTCACAAAATATTACACCACAGATAGTGATGGCTGGCACTGGGACACATAGTCAAGGTTGTCTCACCAAAATAACCTAAGCTGTGTGTCTTTTCCCATTGATGCTCTTATTCTTAAAAGAAATAATTAAAAAAAAATCTGTGTGAATTCATCCCTTAGCTGCAGTAGGGTTTAGAGCAGAAGTCAGCAGGGAAAACTAGCTGTTTGCCTGCTTGTAGTAAAAGGGATATTCCAGGGGAAGGAATCTCTCTTATAAATTAAATGACAACCTCAAACTTAGTGAAGAGGACTGAGGTGGTTATCATTTGGTGGTGGTACAGGCCAGGTGGAAGAAGGTGTGTTGAATGCATCACCCACATTGGCCAGGTTGACTTAAAAACAGTTTGATTGGCAACCTTGCAACAAGTTCATGTTCATTCCCACAGAAACTTTAGGCATCTTGTTGTTTCTGTAGAAAACGAAGTCATCAGACATTTCTTCCATTTATGGATCCTTAACTGTCTTTCAAAATAAGTTTTCCTAAGAAAGTGCGCTTTCTTTATTCCATGTCACCCTGAGCCTAGCAGTGTCGAGAAAATGTGAAAATAATTCATAAAATGTCCTAGCTATGTCTAGATCCATTCTTTCTCTTATTTGTTTTCTCTTTCAAAAGTCTTCATTTGTTGTAAAAATAAGGAGAACGATGATCACAGTCTTATGAACATTGTTTTTGGCATTTCTTTAGGCTGAACTAATGGCAAAAATCATTTCTCAAGTTAATCCTGGGCAGGATATTCACAATTGACAAAGTATTTCATGACAACTTGGGAGCAAGGCAGAGAAGGCAAATAATGCATTGGTCTGCAACAAATGTTTCTCTGTTTCTTTGGGGGAACGAAGATGTATTTTATGGAAGCGAACTTTCTAAATGTGAAAGGACAAACACAAAAGAATGAAGAAAACCCCTAATTAAATGAATTAGAGAACAGAAGCCAGAAAATTGTGTTTCTGTTCTGCCATAATACACTTTGTAACCCTGAGGCCATTGTCTGGACAACATTCCGAAGTATAAATGAACTCTGACTCTGGCGACTTTGAGACCTAACAGGGTGAGGGTGGGGAAAAGTTTTCCCACAGAAGCCTTAAGGGGAGCACTTGACATTATATAATTGCACAAACAGGGAAACATAACAAAATGACATTCCATAATTTTGTTTTGTTTTTCATATTGATGGAACATAGTGAAAGTATACTTTTTAAAAGTTGCATAGCTTTTGAGCTGGATATAACTGCAGAAGCATTTGGGGGAAACATATGTATATATATATAAAGACCTTTCCTCTCTCCTGTTTCCCCTTGCAATATTTACAGATTTGAAAATCCCTCTAAAATATTGCTAGTGAATGATCTTTCCATAATAGATCCATGCATCTATAATCATTTTCATATTTTCATCTTATATTTTGCATTCATTTTATATTTCCATTCCTATAGCTTTTTGGATTCAGACTAGATTCACCAAAGTCAATGGAACTTAAGCTGTGAGTATCTTACATTCCATTGATTTAGAATAAGTTTTAACTCTAATTATACTAAATCTGGATCTAAACCACAGTGTTCAGAGTGAATGCTATTCACAAAGTCACAACTCTCCCTTTTTCTCTCTCCCACACATACATACCCAAACCCCAATAATTTTTCTTTAGAGATTAAAAAAAGTAACATTTATTAGTATCAGCATTAGTATTAATACTGTACTAGGAGTAGTATTAGTATTATAAATACCCTTCCAGTTTCTCAGCACTACTAATGCAGGAGGCTTATATGCTGATTTCTCATGTATGTACATCCTTACACATTGTCTAAATATGTGAACTTTCCTCACATTTCCTATTGAAAAAAATAAGTACACATTGTCTAAATATGTGAACTTTCCTTACATTTCCTATTGGGGAAAAAAATAAGTTTTTCCAAGAGCACATGTTTTTAGTTGCACATATTTACTACTGTATAATTCAAAGGGAGGAAATTTAAAAAGAACCAGATATTTACAGTTTCTTCTCAGTGATGGGAAACTGAAAAATATGTGCACATTTCCATTAATAGGTTTACAGAGCAGAACAGAGGCAAAGAGGCGCTTGAAGGCAGGAACCGTACAGAGACAGCAACTTAGGTTTTTCCCAGCACCTCGGAATTCAGCTAAATCTAGTAAAAAGAAAAAAGGAAAAGAAAAAAAGAAAATCTCTCTCTGTTTGGATAGACAGTCGCAAAACTGTTTCTCACAAAATTGTGTGCTGGAATTGGCTTCTCTCCCATATCCAAGATGCAAAGCCAGACAATTTGTAAGAACAGTTTTAACTTAATAACATATGATCCTGTAACTTAAAATTTCAGCACAATAAAACAGCAGTGCACCTTCCACTGTAACTTAAAATTTCAGCACAATAAAACGGCAGTGCACCTTCCACATTCAATAATAATAATAATGATGATGATGATGATGATGATGATGATGATGGTGATGATGATGATGTCCCCATCTCAATAATTTAAATAATGATGATGATGATGGTGATGATGATGATGTCCCCATGTCAATAATTTAAATACAATTGGGTTGGACTACCATATTTCAGAACAAGCAGGAAAAATCAATCATCTCTTATACGTGGATGACCTAAAACTATATGCAAAAAGTTCCACAGAGAAAGAACCATTGCTAACCACAGTGCAAATATTTCATGAAGATATCCAAATTAAATTTGGAATTGGCAAATATGCAGCTCTGTCTATACACCAAAACTAGATGGAATAGAGTTTAATTACGACAATATTATAAAATCACTATCAAGTGATGAGTATTATAAATACGTACCTTGGAATACTAGAAGCAGATAACATTGTGTACACAAAAGTTAAAGAACTGACAGAAAGGGAATATATCAAAAGACCACAGAAAATTTTAAAATCAAAATTAAATGGTGGAAATACAATCAAAGCCATAAACAAATGGGCCAGTCCAGTAATTAGATACCAGCTGGAATAATAAATTGGACTCAAAACGAACTAGAAGAATCGGATTGAAAAACAGGGAAACTAATGAACATGCATCATACACTACATCCAAAAAGCGATGTGGATAGATTATATTTATGATGAAAAATTGGAGGCCATGGATTACTGCAAATATAGGAGGTAGTAGAGGAAGAAAAAAGAAGCCTAAATAATGATATCAGTACAAGCAGAGAAAAATTACTGAAAGCAGTGAAAATGGAAGTTTTTTTGAAAATAACAGAAACCAAGGCTCAATATAAGAAACAACAATTTGTAAAGAAATTAAACAGCTTGAAAAAATAAACCACTACATGGACAATACCTGAGAAATATTGATGGAAAGCATGATCATAATTCAGCATGGACATGGCTAAAACTGGGCACCCTTTAGAAAGAAACTGAAGGCTTGACTTTTGCTGCAGAAGAACAAGCACTCCAAACCAACGTGATGCAAGCTAAGATCCAAGGAGTTAGTGCTAACAGCAAGTGTCGACTCTGCCAAGAAAAAGATGAAACTGTGTCACATCTCATCTGTGACTATCCAAAAATTGAACAAACAGATTACAAAGTTAGACATGATAGAGTGGCAAGGTTAGTGCACTGGACATTATGCAAAAAATATAACTTGCCAGCCTCCAAAAACCCATGGGAACATCCGGTAGTGAAGGTGTCAGAAAAATGAGTCAAGATCTTGTGGGATTTCTGGATTCAAATGGACAGGCACCTTGAACATAACACACCAGACATAGTAGTAATAGAACAAAGATCTATTGCAATTCCAGGGGATGCCAGACTTGAAAATAAGGAATTGGAGAAACTAGCAAAGTACAGAGGCCTGGCAATCGAAACATCTTGCCTCTGGAAGAAACACACTTCAGTGGTCCCTATAGTCACTGGGGCTTTGGGAACAATATCAAGAAATTTCATACAGTACTATAAGCAGTTGCAGATCTCAGAAATTACACCATCAGAGCTACATATAACGACAATACAGTATTAGGAACAGCATACGTACTGTGTCAATATTTAACAGATACTTAGGGTTTTGGTTAAAACCTGTATCTGTTATATAATACCAGTCAATGTTTTTATAATTTTGACTGTGCCTGGAGTTTTTGAACAACAACAACAACAACAACAACAACAACAACAACAACAACAACAACAACAACAACAACAACAACAACAACAATAGCTGTCAAGTCAATTTTGACTTATGGTGACTCTTTTCAGGGTTTTCCAGATAGAGAATATGCAGAAATTGTTTGCTACTCCCATCTTCTGGGAACAGCCTGGGATTGTGCAGCTTGCCCAAGGTCTCACAGGCTGGCTCTGTTCACAGGAGGCACAGTGGGGAATCGCAATCCAAACCTCTGGCCTCCCAGCCAGATGCCAAACTAGCTGAGTTATCTAGCTAGCTTCCTGCAGAGTCTCTACCTCTCACAAAATATCTTATCTCTAGTGTGAGACAGAGTGATAGCAAATATTTTTTCTCCACCTTGGTTTTGGCAATTTGCACAACATATGTGTGTGCAGAATGAGTGTCTTTTACCTTTTGTGAAGCTAACCGCACACAGGCACAGGCACACATATGCACACTTACACAAAGCAAACACAGCAGATCCATCACAGAGACACAAACAACCCATTCAGTATGACTAGATTTACTGTGTTACTTTTTTCTGCCATGCTGCGCATACCTGTATTAGAGAAATACACAAACCTTTGTGCCTTCTCTTTGAATCTACCCCTAACACACTCCTCATATGGCTCATGCTGAGGAGAAAAAATTGCTTTTAGGTTATTTTGTTTACCATGTGAAGACAGATCAAGTCAAAGATTCACTTTCCTACTAACACATCCTATGTAATTAAAACAGTGATTGTGTGGCTGCTGCCGGAGAAATACCGGCACTAGGTTGTCTCAGGAATGTTAGTTTTTAATGTACACATTTTTAAATGGTTTAAAATTGTTTTTAATCTCGGTTTTTAATTTCAATATAGGTTTAATTGTTCTTTTAAATGTGATATTCATATCGTATTTTAAAACTGTGTTTGTTTTATAGTGTTATCTGTTGTGAACCACCCTGCATCCCCTATGGAGAGAAAGATGGCACATAAATAATATAAATAAATAAAATAAATAAATTGGCAAGGAAGATAAAAGTCTTAGGCAACAATGCTGGTGGTTTGTTTTTTCAGACGCCTATTTCCTCTGTGCTGTGTGACCTTTCTCATCCCGAGCAACCAGGAAATGCTCATCTCTAAGAGGCAACCTTGCCCATCTTGGGGTTAACCAGGTCATAACTCATGGGCAGTGGGTTGCCTGAATGTATGAATGAACCCACCTTTTAAAATCTTTTGGAAAGCCATGGGATAAAAATACTAAAAAGTCATTTTTGTCTTTGCTCCACGTCCTTTCTGCACACCATTGTCTTAAACCAGAGCTATCATAAGGCTCCCCAGGGGTGAATTTGACTTTTTCCCATGCTGTGACATTGAATTCATTTTATGACAATCCTAGAGAACACTTAAAATAGGGAAATGACTTGAGGGTAGTGCTCCGGACACACGCACACATACACAGAGAGAGAGGGGGGGAGGGAGAGGGGGGAGAGAGTCGAGGGAGAGAGAGTGGTCATTTATCCCTGTTTGTCCTTAGAATTACCTAAGGGTTGAGCAATAGTTAAAAATACGATCTGAAACCAATGCCTAGAAGGAGGAGGACGCTGCACTGTGCTGCCACAGAAATACCAGCGCAAGTCAGGAAAATCAGTGACTTTCCCTAATCTTCTTTCCTTCAGAAACTTTGCTAATGAGATCAATTCTAGAGGCAGTTGCCTTGATCCACCACAGTAAGAAAAGAAAAACTCCTTCTGTCGTTGATTAAATAAAGCTGGATAACCTAGAGCTATTTTGGGCATTTGTGCTATAACGTAAGGTGAACGGACAACCTGGTTTTACTGAGACAGTGCAACTACTTACAATTGTCATGTTGTGTTTGGCTGTTACAAACAGCCTGTAACCGTTCTCTTAACCAACGATTCTTTTCCCGTGCTTTCCAGTGAACGAGGAACACGCCGTCCTGTCTCATGCTGCAAATGCGTACCAGATCAAACTGGTTTTGTAAATCAGGCCTAGGTAAGGAACCAAACCTGACAGCATCAGAAATCTGTAATGCTCTGTTACACCCAAGGAGAGTAATTTGAGAACATCTTGAACGAGGATGGCACTTCCCTGTGTATGATAAATCCTGGGAACGGTGGCATCAAAAAAGGCTAGTTGCCTGATTTTCTTCAAGCTGAAAGATGGGATACTCAAAGGTTTTGGTTTTATTTGTATTTTGAAGTGACTCAACCTGGTTTGTGCATCAGCATTTTGCACTTTCCCAGTATATTTAACATCTTTGTCATCTCAGAAAACACACATAAATATCTGAATTTTAAGATAACCCCTATACCAAAATGTGTGGGTTAAGGTAAAATGGATGCACATTTTCATATGCTTTCCCTCTCCTGAGTTCACTTATTGATGCAGAAAGAGAGTGAAACAGACTCACAGGTATAATTACTGATTTTATTTATAACAATTCTCTTTTCATCAGTAAGCTCAAGACAAAGTACATGGTCCGTCCTCTGCCCAGTTTTTTTTTCAGGCCTACAACAACCCTGTAGAATCAGTTAAGCAGACAGCAAGTAACAATCTGAAAGTCTGTGAGTTTCACAGCCCAGTGAGGACCTGTACCTGCATCCGCCTAGTCCTTGTCAGATGCTTTAACCACTGTACCACACTGTTTCTGAATGGAAGAAATACATGTCAAACAGTGAGGAAAACAGATCGATCCCTCCATCCTTGGTTAGAAATGCAAAATACTAACTCTAGGAATGAAAAGGATGAGGATTTTGCCTTCATATCCTACTGCTGAGCTTCCAAGAAGCATCTGGCCGGCCATTGTGAGAAGCACGGTGCTGCCAGATTAACCAATCTGGTAGAAGATTGACCCAATCTGGTAGAGCACCTTTGGGCTTCTTAAACTATGGGACAGGCCATTCGAGTGCACACTGCAACACACTGTGGTCTTACTGTGTGAAGCTCCTCAGTGTACCTTGAACTGACCTTGCTCCCACTGGAGCACAGATGAAAGAGGTAAGTTCAGGCTTCTGGGCCTAGCCAGCACCTCAGGTCCTCCTGATCCTATGGAGCTGGGCTTGAGCCAGCTGACCTATACACCCATGACCTAGGCACAGACACTTCATCTTGTAATAGATAACTCCAGTTTGGAACTTTGATCCAGTGAAATGTGACATGTAACCTATGGCTTCCGGTTGCTCATCCTTTCTTTAAGCTAAATCTCTCTGTGGGCAGGGCACATTATGCAATGGGATACAAAAGAGAGTGGTGTCCTCATCCTTTGTGTGAAAGAGAGTGTTTCCAACAAGTGGCATGCTCATGAGAAGCCACATGTCCTCAAATTCCTTGTCTTATGCAGTGCTTCAACCCACATGAACCCTTCCCCGGTGTCTGAAGAATGCATAAAATACACACTGGAGCAATAGTCTTGACATGTGAGGATCCCACGTGTATGGTTTTATGCAGTTTTCCCAGTGCATATGCATGAATTGGGAAGTAGAATCCTGTGTTGTCATTAAATGTACCATGACCAGGTAAAATGCTGATGAACAGAGAACAATGGGGATAGAGATAAAATGGCAGCATGTCACATGCTTTGAATGATGTGAACGAGTCCTAACTTGTGTTTGGGACACCTCCCAATATCCCCGAAATAAGTAGTTCTGAAGTGAAAGTAAAGGATTCAGTTATTGATTACATTACTTTGGGAAAAGACTGGCAGGTGTTGTCTTTAACAGTATTTTAGGACTTTTTCATCAGAAAAAGATTCTTCTTCTTCTTCTTCTTCTTCTTCTTCTTCTTCTTCTTCTTATTATTATTATTATTATTATTAACAACAACAACAACAACAACAACAACAACAACAACAACAACAACAACAACAACAACAACAACAACAACAACAACAACAACATGTTGTAACTAGAGATGGGGACGAACTGCCAAAATGGCAGTTCATTTTGGTTCATGGGTTGTCAAGGTTGACAACCAGAATCAAAATGAAACAATTAGCTCCAGTTTAGAACTACTATGCTTTATCTAAATTGGCCTGATTTGATCTCGTATACAGACAAAGTGAATTCACAGCCCTCTCATAAAACATGAAGGAAGGAACAGTAGTTGATTGTCACCCTCATTCCGGAGCTGGAATCCCACAACGGGATTACAGTGAACGTTTGCAATGCCTAGACAGCCTTTCTTCACCAAAATCTTGGCAGATACTAAATAGAGACACATCGCCTCCACAAAAAAATTATACTATACAAAGCACAGCAAAGCTTTGACAACAGCATGAGATACATATGAGAAGTAAAATTGTTTCATTTTATCATTCAAAATAAAATTGCATTTATAGACTCTTAAATGTTTTTGAATTATATTTATAAACTTTTAATATTTTTTAAAATTAAATGTTTTAATGGTGGCTTTAGTACTCATAAATGTGTAGTGGTTTTTAGTATAGTTTGGCTGATTTTAACTGTGTTTATTGTATGGTCTTAATTGTTTGTGAGTTGCCGTGGATCTCTCATGGAGAGAAAGGTGGGAAACAGACAGACAGACAGACAGACAGACAAACAAATACAGGAAAAGGAATAATTTCTTGGCAGAAGAAAGTGGAGACTGTTTCAAATGGAGGGCAATATCATTGTTTACAGGTGTCAAAACAAAGCTGAAATAGTCACCATGACATCCGATCGACAATAACAAAAGGGGAAGAAGAAGAAGAAGAAGAAGTGCTAGAATATCCCAATTTGTTTCACAAGAACCCTGTGAAGATTGAGTCAGGCTGAGTTTTATGACTTGAAGAGTCCTTTCTGATTCAGCACAAACCACTGTAAACTATAACACACTTTCTCCAGCTGTTTCTTTACAGAGATGATATTATTATAGCTGTCTTTAAATGGCATAATTAAATATGACATGAATTTCAAAGGACATGTATAGTGTAACTATCTTTTTTCTTTCTTTCTACCAGTTATATTTTAAATGTTGAGTATGCAATGTGACTGGAAGGCACCCCAAGGTCCTTAAAGACAGCAGGGGGGAAACCTTAAGTCATAAATAAATGTTATTGTTCCAAAATATATTTTAAACAAAACTATCATGTTCTAATGTTTGACATGTTTTGCTTTTATTGAATGTGTTTTCCTATATGACTGTATCCTATCAGATATCTGTCCCATAAGGCTGATGTTTAAGTAAAATGCTACATTTATCTTTAGACCTGGCTGTCAGTCCTCTGCACAGTTATTCAGGCAGTGGAAATTCCTTATTAAATACATTTTTCAAAACTTTCTGCAATTCAGTTTATTTATAGATTACGGGGGAGATAATCAGAGCTATCCACTCATATTCATTCAGTGTCTCCTAACGACACCTACTTGCACTCAGTCACAGTAATACTCAATCAGTTCCATTTGCAGCAAATTATATTCACAGTAAATCTGGATTCACACTTCATAGTCAATCATCAAGCTCATTCACATCAGTCACAGCAAATCAATACCCTCTTTTCATGCTTGCTTCTTTTTGTTCATGGTGTGCCTTGAAACATCTGCAGCATATTCGCTCACTCAGAAATGATCTTGTGGGCAACCCAGTTGTCATTAATTTCCACTGTTTCTTGATGCAGACAATAACTAGGTTTTGGTAACAGTAATATAAAATGATTACAGGACTATCAATGCACTTTGGAATATCTGGTGATGGGAACAAACTGTTGAAAATTGCATAGTTGTTTTCTTAATTATTATTAGCTAGTGGCCAACTGCTCCTAAGAACCATGTTGATGAGCCTTGAATAACCCAGTCACTGTAGCTGATGCCAAACAGTTTTATATTGCTATGTTTTATATTTTTTTTCCAGGTAAAATTATACGATCCTATTTAAATAAGGTCAATTGTAATCTTATGTTAGATTAAACAATGCCTTCTCATTGTGGAACAAAATGTATTTACTGTACAGAGTAGTATAACTTCATAGCTTAATCTTCTTCAGTACCTCTATGCAGATCTGAATGGGATTTGTTTCAAAGTGTGTGCATGATTGGAGTCTCAGTAATGTCTTACTGTTTCACATATTTCCACCAACCAAAATAGCTAGTGTTGTCTCTAAAAATAAGTAGTTGTGTCACTGGAAGTGACAACCATTGCGCAAAAACGTCTCTACAAGTTGATGCAATTGGGGAAATTCATTGATTTCTGGGTCCACCAAAGATCCCCTTTCGGTTCTCCTGCATTGCTTCAAGTCTCTTCTGAGTGACAATATGTGCTTAGATCCTTGGGTAGCCATCTAGCCCAGAATGTATGATGGCTTCCATCATCAGTAGTACAGTTAAGCGGAGAATTATAAATGATTTTTTTCTCACTATATAGCTACAGTAAGCTGGTGTTTTTCGAAAAGTCATTCTTTCAGTTGTTGTTGTTGTTGTTGTTTAGTCGTTTAGTCGTGTCCAACTCTTCGTGACACCATGGATCAGAGCATGCCAGGCCCTCCTATCTTCCACTGCCTCCCGGAGTTGTGTCAAATTTATGTTGGTTGCTTCGATGATACTGTCCAACCATCTCATCCTCTGTTGTCCCCTTCTCCCCTTGTCTTCACACTTTCCAGACATCAAGGGGATTGGAACCTCAGCTTCAGGATCTGTCCTTCCAGGGAGCACTCAAGGTTGATTTCCTTCAGAATGGGTAGGTTTGTTCTCTTTGCAGTCCAGGGGACTCTCAAGAGCCTTCTCTAGCACCACAATTCAAAGGCATCAATTCTTCGGTGGTCAGCTTTCTTTATGGTCCAACTCTCACTTCCATACATCACTACAGGAAAAACCATAGCTTTGACGATGCGGACTTTTGTTGGCAAGGTGATGTCTCTGCTTTTTAAGATGCTGTCAAGGTTTGTCATCGCTTTCCTCCCAAGAAGCAGGCGTCTTTTAATTTCATGGCTGCTATCTCCATCTGCAGTGATCATGGAGGCCAAGTA